CGATTTCAAACTAACAGTTTGTGATGGCGCTTTTAATGGATTTAAATAAAGGACTTCTAAACAGTTTATATGGTTAATAGTTCCTCTGAGTAGAATTCTGCAAGACGCAAAATTATTAAGCACTTGAACAATTGCCATAAGTTCTAATTACAAACTAAATAAACTTCTTTTCATGAGAACTTTAGTAATTTTCTCATGTGTAATAAAGACTTTCTTGAGAATCCGTAATGAGTTCATATCCGAAGGCAGTTCCACACCTGAGTAACATTATTTACTTAAAGCTTTCTACCTGGTAATGCGTAGATTTGTTTTAATCTGTGTTTAGTTTGGATGCTTTGACAAACCAGTACATTTGAAAATAATTTTGAAAGAGATGGCTTTATTTTCGGAAGAGTAAATTTTATTCGAAAATGTCAGAAAATATTTCTTGTTGTTACTTCCTTGTACGAAGTAAAAAGCCAGTTACCAGTTGTTAAATAACCAGTTGTTTTCTGTTCAGAAACTTGATTGTCGCATTACGCTTTCCGTCTTCCTGCGAGAAAAGAAATTTTAGCTCGTGTGTATTTAAGCGAGAGTATGAGATTTCCTTAGTCAGAGCGTATTCCGCCTGTTGAAGGCCACGTTATTTAGTTGATATTCGACGACAACATTCCTGTTCACAGCGTTGCTTTAATTTTCAAATAGTGCGGTCACGTCGGTGTAGGTTAGCTAGGTTAAAGCCAACTTGCGCGTTAAATATTTCTGGTTAGCCTTTGCCTAATTTAAGACTTTTTGAGTTTGCGTATAAATGTTGGTTGATTTTGTAAGCATAAAATGTACCCACTGTTCAAGAATTTCAGTTCTTAATAAAAGGGTCTTTTTCATCCTTTTTACGTTCTGTTTGTTTATCTAGACATAGTCACTTACTTCTACTTAAATTTGGTTTAGTTGATTACGGCATAGTACACTAGGGTTGATTGCTTGAGAGAGGATGCCTTCGGGAAGGACTTTCTAAGGGAAACTGGCTCGTATATACGTTACACTTGGGGAAAACCGCGAAAAAGCCCATGAAGGTAGGCTGAACCCAAGTTGGAACTACCAGTGTTCAGCGATTTTACCGCTCTCGTCGCTCTTCAGGACATGAAAACCGGTGGTCGTCTCACAACATCCCTTACTTCAACCCTCTAAGCTCTCATATCAAGAACTTTGAAGTCTTCTAATTCTGCCAATCCTGCAAAGAAATGATGCAACCGGAAATGGTGGTGTTATTGGCCTTCGCCTGATTGTCATAATGCTTGAAGTGCGTGTTGTGACTAATGTCATTTGTCTGACAGTTACATCAGAACAAGACCACGAAATTCATCGTGGCAAGAGAGTGAGATTGTGTCTGTCGTTGGCCTTGAGCACTATACAGGTGACAGTATGACCCATGGAGGTAGGAAGTAAGAAGGAGTCGCCCTAAACAAGTTTCTCCGTACCCTGCTCTGAAGCACCGGCGATCCCTACGTGGTGACCAAAACATTGGGTCATTTACCATTGAATTCTATGGGATTTGACGCGTTCGGGTGTACATATTTTGTAATTACGTCGCAAATACATATAAATGTATATTTCTTTTCTACAACACTTCAGAGTCCTAAGTATGTGAAACAAACATATTTTTAAACAACATTTCTTCTGAACGGAATTAAATGCTAACTTTCTCAGAATGGTTTTTGAATGAAATATTTCACAGTTTTCGTTAATTACTTAGAAAAAAAATTAAGGTAATTCGATTTTTATTCGGTTAAGGTACAAAATTAAGATCAAAGTTTATTGTATTATTAATATAAAATTATGCATTATTTCTTTTTCTATTTATAGAGCTTCTTCCTAAAATACTTTCTTAATATGACATGATTTTTTTGGCTTCTTTTAAATCGAAAAATGTAAGTCAATTTATAATTAATGCTCTGTTCGGTTCATTTTAAATTAGGACAATATTAGGAAAATAGTATTTGAATTTCTCTGACATTTCTGAAGGGAATAAAATATTTTTTTAAGTATTATTTAAAACTTGTAACTGAGTTATTATAAATGTAAAGGGAATAATTCTTTTAATTATACTTATCAGATTTTTTTTTTTACCCTTCATTTCAACAATACATATTCCAAAACTCTTATTACGTTCTTAAGCGCGCATCTCATAGCATTTGCTTTACAGTACCTTTAACAGATTGCTTTCCAATACGAACAATTCTTGCTTAAATAGTTTTATAACGTATTTGTCAACAGGATTTCAATTTATGTTTACAATTCAATATTAAGGTTATTATATATTTAGATAACATTATAATCATTATAAATTAGATGCATTTAATCACTAGATTTCTTCACAGTTACTATCACAGTTGTTTATAAGTGATAAATTCTTCATTTCAAATACATTTATAAATAATTTAATGAATATTTAAGTATTTTGTCAAGGTAGATACATACTTTTTGCAAAGCATGCATAAATACCCATACATATTTCCTATTTATCATTTCCGGCATGTGCAAATCTTTAATTTCTGTGCATTCACTATATTTTCGTGTAAGTAATTTACATTAATTTAGCATACACTGAAAGTTTTACATAAAAAATATATATGAATCTAATTTGAATGAAAATTAAGTATTATTTTTAATACCCACTCAAAGGTCAGTTTTTCTTCAAAATTCCCCCACGATGGCATCTCTCTCTTTAGGCAGATAGCCCTTGCATATGCGTTACTCTATTAATAAAAACTTAATCTGACCTATGTGCCTAATTACAAATATTTTAACATACATAATTTTATATTACATTTAGCCATCAAGTTTCAAACTTTTCAAATCTCCTAGAAATTAAATTTTGGCAGATCTCTTTAGCCATTTTTTAAAATCTATATTTTTGTAGTGCAACAGCTTAGAATTTATAAAACAATTCATAATCAAAATCGCTGTTGTTAGTTATCGAAAAATAACCAAGATGTGATTTTTGCGTAAATGTCAGAAACTATACAAATTGCTATTATCCATCACACTATGAATGTTTCTTTCATGCGAGAGTGTCCCTTTTTCGATTTCTATGGAACTGTCGTGTGTCGAAATACTATCAGAATTTTGTCAAGGGAGCTTCTGAATGTAAACAGAAACACCCCGTCTGGTGACCCAAGCTTCAAAGCAGTGCTTCACTTCTAGCGCGGAATGGCCCTTCCTCCCTTTCCTACCTCCATGGTATGACCCCAGTTCCGCCCCCAATTTTCATGCAGATCCCCTCGGGAAGACGCGTCCGAGTCCCACGCGTCTTCCCCTACCCACAACCTCTCGAGAGGACTTTCGCCTCGGCATATATTTAGTCCCCATGTCGCCAAGTCAGTATACATTTACAAATATCCATGCCTGCTCCGAAAACCGAAATTCGTACCGCAGTAGGCTCCCCTAACCATTCAGCTAGTGGTTAACTCCCGCTGAGTTGGTAACCAATTCTGCACGTGGATATATCTATACCTGGGTCGGAAGCCAACTCAGCGATTTACTCCCCTAACAATTATACCGTTTGGATGACTTTAATGCCTACTAAATGCTGAAGTTATTATTGCAATTGAATCGGAGAGTAAATGTTTCAGCCACTAGCGATTTGATATTTCGTCGATCTTGGAGTTATTATTTAGAAGTTCTTAGCGATGAATTCGAATTTAAAGTTAAAATTATGCATGCATACAGCAAATCTCATTGCTATACACCCTATTTTACTTTACATAGGTAAAATATGTTAGATTTTATTAGATTATTTTCCTTTATTAGATTTACTCAGGTCTTGCATTAGATTTACATCCAGAATTTTGATTTATATCCAGATTTTGCTATTAGATTTATATCCAGAATTCATTTTGTTAGTAAAACTACTGATATCAACCTACGAGTAAACTAATCATCCCAAATACTAAGTAAAATAATCTGTTGCCTATATGTCGAAATAAATTTTAAATCAAATGAAAACCGAATCAAGATAAGCTAGGAAATCAGCAAAGTGTTCAGAAAATTACTGAGCAGCACAGTTTGTAGAGACAGGAGTAGATCAAAGTATAGGGTGGTGCAAATAAAAATACCTCAGGATAATAGGTTAACGTAATACAGGATTTCAGAGAAATTAAAACTGCAAGATGACTGTGTGGGTATTCAAAATCACATGTAAAGTGACTGTCATTCATACTTAAGCACTTTTGAGGCACAGACTGCAAAATACGGAAAGGCAGTTATGCGCCTTTTAATGGCCCACCAAATAATAATCACAAAGCATTGAGTTAGTATTACACGCTGTAGAGGACTTGGAGAAGTAGTTTCCTCTCATCTCCTTGCCAATATTCCGGAGATGAGAAATGCTATATTAGACCAAATCTGGCTTAACCTCTGCTGCAACATAGTCAGGATTGGTATTTCCGTAAAAGCGACCCATGAACGGTGCCTGTGGTGAAAGCCTATGGAGAATACATGAAAACATGGCTTCTCTACGGCATTGTTTTTGTTTGTCATTGGGTATATGAAATGATAGACAACAATGGATGATTCTGGACTTGTTTCCACTTTCAGAATGGGAAGTTTTTATGGTTATAAGGATATATAGATAGAGCTTTAGTAGGTCATAGTACAGTACAAAGTCCGAGATCCAGACTTGTAGGGACTTCGGCGTTTCCGGATTTGAGATTTTTCTAGATATTAGATCATCAATTTAATGTTTACTTTATTATTAAAAACTTCTTTCAGTATAGGCTTTTTAGGTTTTTTGTGCGATGTTTTATGCATCCAAATACAAATTTATAAGTCTCTCTGCAAGAAATCTGGTATTTATTACCTCCAGAATACCTTTGCATTTTTTAACACATAAAGTGGATAATCTTATACTTTTTGTTTTTCCTGATTCATCATTAACCAAGAGAGTAGAATAGTAATTGCAGCATGATTCCACGTTACTTTTTATCCAACCCTAATTAAAAGTGGTTTTTTACCTGGCTTACCTGCCATCTGTAGGGACGTTCCGTTTGTGGTACCATTGTGCGGGGAATGCTGGCCGTTAGTCGTGTGACCGTTGGGTGTGATTTTCTTCTCGACAATCGTACAGTCGTTGTCAGCTTTGCAGAAAAGTCCATCGTCCCTTAGGGCGAATTCGTCGCCCGGTAGCAATTGTCGCGTACAAGTGACGCAACGAAAGCACTCGATGTGGTAGATTTTGTTCCTGGCACGCATTACAAAATCACTCTTACTGAAGTTCACATTGCATCTGGCGCACTTGATGCCGAATAACCTGCGGAAAGAGAGTAAATTCTGCACTTGTGTAAGCTCTTAGCTGATAATAAGTAAAACAGTCAAAAGAACATTAAAGATGCATGCAAAAAAGCAGTAAAACAAAGCCATAAAATTCAAAATTGGGACTGAAACAAGACTTAAGATAAATTACTTGATGTTATTCAAGTATAAAATAGCCAAACAAATTAAATATATATAACACATTTATGTTGATGTTAAATTAATTGACAAAAAACTTGTAAGTACAGTAAGTAGCCTTCTCTGCACACTAGAGTCATACGAGACTACATATTATTACGCTCTTTTATATATATTAGTGTAGTGACATTCATTCATCTGAAATATATAAATACGGTAACCTTTAACCGATAAATTATTCCCGTGAAAAGATATTGTTGCGTGCGTACGGGTTCGTTATGAAATGAATGCACAAGTCCGATGAAAAAAAGAACAAAAATTTATTATTATCACAACAAAAATGCTTAAATTTTCTCAAATTATCATGCAGTTTTACAATATCTCACAGTAGTTATCTTTTAACTACTCCAATGTCCAATAGAACGTAATTCAAAACAGCTAAAGAAAGCTAATCCGCGAATTCGCTACAATCAACAAGAGCAGTTTTCTAAACAACAACAAACTAAGCAACTACAACAAACTGAGATGTTTTCCTCCTTTTATAAGGTTTTAAAATCCCGCGCTAGAATTTTCCAGTACTTTCTCGAAATCAAAAAGAGATATTTATTTATTTAATGCACGCGCTCTTGTATTTTCAATTTTCCGGCTTAGCTTTCTTTTAATATTCGTCACGCGCTGCACTGCGCGAGAAATAAAATCATTTAATTTATAATTGAACTAACGTTTTGCTTTTTAAATACCAAATTCGTAACAATATATTAAACAATGATTTTTCGAAGTATACTGCAATTCATATTTACAATGTCCTTCTTTTTATATATGTTTAAACAAAGGATTATATCATTTTAACTCAAGCATAAGATGATGGATGATAAAACATTGGAGAAAAACTGTGTGTGTGCTGAATATCAGCATGCATACTATGAAAGGATGACAAAGCAATACATCTATGCATTTCTCTCAAAGCATTTTATAAGCAATGAAATTTCAATTTGAATCACATATGTGTATAAAGGATCGAGCTCTGAATTTTCATAGAAACTTAATGCGGAGCCGTTCGGTTGTTTGTGTTTATCCTTAAAAGGCCCATATCACACAGCGTTTGTTTCACACGAACAACTGTTTCGGACAATTTTTCTGCCTGATTTACTATTGAAAGAAAGACGTGCGACTTTTTCCTTCCTTTCCAAAAAAGTTGCAGGTTGTTCGTTTTCAACCAATGAGCAATCAGCTTGTTTCTAATTGGGAAACCAGTTTCTCCTGTGTTAACCCCAAAGCGATCTATGGTGATTGGCTGTTGTGACAAAGCAGAAAAATTGTTCCAAACACAGCTGTTCTTCCGAAACAAACCGACGTGTGATAGCAGCCTTACAGTTTCTTCTTGTTTGGCAAGATATTGTTACGAAATGCCCAGCTGCGGTGAGATAGCTTCCCCGCAAAGCGAGACTAGGATTGCCAGAAAGTGGCATGGGTGCCACATTTGGCCCCAAATCGCCCATTTGGAGCCATTTAATGGCAAAATTGACAGGCGGAGAGAGAACATTCTAAAGCGCATTCTTAGCAATTTTCACGAGAATATTCTCGAAGGTAGGTTAAATCTATATATAACCTTGCCTGGAAAGTAGTATAGAATAGAGTATCTTGAGTTTAGCAGTAGTGTAGTAGAGTGTCTTTAGTTCAAATATGAGCTTGAGAGCGATCGACTGGGAGCTGCTTTGCCGTGAAGCTTGTCTTCACCGTTATATTCCGAAGGATGTGTTGCTGATTGCTTCAGCGTTTTTATCGTAGTTTTTTACCAACTGTAAAAGCGTTTTTAAAACTGTCCTGTGTAATACTGGCGAATAAATTCTGTTTTGATTCTTCATCAAGTGTTATCGTCAATTACTCTAAATCCAACAACCCGTAGAATGCAACGATATAAAGCACATGATTTATATCTTTAGCTTTCAAAAATCATTTCTTTCGATACCAGTCGTAGATTTTAAATCCGAGGATAAAATTACACGATTGAAGAAATAATAATGATTCATATATTAATTAAAATTTTACTAGATGGGCAACTAATTCAATTAACCAGGGCTATCTTTGAGATGGAATTTTCATTTACATGACTCGATTTGCAAAAGATTAAAAGAGTAATGTATGATATTTATCCGGAATCCTTTAGTTTAATACTTAAATGTCTGTTAGCAAAAACCCGGAAATTTTACTTGGAGTTTATCAAAAAACCGAGGCTGAATCGAAGTGCAACACTACAAGAAATTAAGAAAGGCAATATATTCATTGTAATAATTTTCTAGAACCTTAAAATATAAATTAAAATTTACTGTATTTTTCATTTCTAAGCAGAGACCATTTGAAATTAAAATACAATACACAATTTGAATACAATGCCTTTCTATGTGGGACTTCTTTGTACAGAAATTCGATCTGGCCATACTTTGATTTAGGACACCTAATATACGAAGTCTTTAGTTCTATTTGTCCAGGGAAAAGCATCGCTCACTTTTCATGTCTTCTGCTTCAAGGCATCGGAATTTAAAAAAAAAAAAAAAAAAAAAAAAAAAGGTAGGTGGTAGATGAATGATTCTTCCCCATCAGGTTTGGGCGATTGGATTCGCTAATTCCAGTCGTCCTTTAAAAGGGATTTTCTCCCTCCTTTTAGCATGCTTTCGGGTGTAACGATTAGCACACTTCGAGAGTCCAGGTTCGAGTCCCGGCGAGGGCATTGCTCATTTTTCATGTCCTCCGATTCAAAGTAACCTAATATCTCTACAAAGGGCATACAGCATAAATTTTTATATTTAAAAGGAGCTTTCCAAAATAGCAAAGGTTAGGAAAAAATTACTATGATATCATTTCATTTTGAACGCCCGAAGGCGAAGTGGCTAGCACGTCGCGCAGCTGCACCACAGATCCGGGATTTGTTCCCCAGGCTGGGCAAGGTCAACACCTTGCCAAAGGTCAAGAAAGCAGAAAAAGGGGCACTGCAGACCGTGGCCCACTAAGGCTGTTGCGCCACTTAGTTTTATAATTTCATTGTAAATGAATGTCACGACGGGCCTAATGAATCTATTAAAAAAAGAATAGTCTTAATTTATGAAAATGTGGTGGTGAATTAATATCATTGAATCGCTTAAGCGCGAAACTTGCAACAAATATTTCCATCAAGACTGAAATACTATAAACCCTCCAAAGAGATTTTTATCAAAATGTTTATTAAAAATAAAAGCTTTATACTGACTACAGTTTCGTTGTAACTTAGTCCAGCTTTATCAAGGAGTCACCAGTCCTTATTTTTTTTTTTTTAATCTTCGAGATATAAAATGAGAGACATTCGCGAAAAGCTCTGCGGATTAAGCAAAGTTATAAAAAAGAAGTTTCCTTCACATCTAAATCCTGGACTCCAAAGCAAAGATCTTATTCCTAATGCTAATGATCTTAATCCCAACAGCGGAACTTAACGATACATTTTACCTATTTTTTTTTTTTTTTTTCCTTTAGCAGGTCGTGTTTTAGTTCAAAACGCAAATATTTCCGAAGATTTGAAAGATAAGAAACTCCACAGAGCGAAGAGGATAATCATTAAAATTCTTCCTCCACGCATGCTCAGATCATCTCCCTTTGAATGATGATGGATAACTGATGAATCAAGTGGAAGGAGGAAGATACTCAGAAATAATTATTCCCTTCTGGAGCAAGAATTAGGATTTTCGTAATGAATGTTCATTAAACGACATTAAAACATTGGCTAATTATGTGAGGCAGGTTGAAGAGAAGCTGTAAAAAACATCCCTCTCTAAATGTTCTTTTAATATTTCCAGACGGCTCGTGATGATAGAGCAATTTGTTCCTTGGGAGGCAGGGAATATTAATTACCGAGGTGAAACTAGAGTGATATTAATGATAATTTTGTTTTGTACCACTGTCAAAATTACTGACGTTGGTTATGATTTTTCTCTTCCAACACAGAAAAGATTTGGAGATCGAGGTAAAGGAGGGTTGTCCAGAGTCAGCAGCTAAGTATGTTGAAATATTTATTCCCCTTTTTTTATTTCCTAAACTATATTAAGCATATATGTGATGAATATTTTGATACACATGACGTAGAGTCTTATGTACCTGGTGCATAAATTGTGGTTGCAATCATAGCTCCTTCATCACTGCCTTATTGTTAGTGCAAAGACGCTTTGTTCCTGAAGGACTATTGTTTTCCTTTTGCGATTTCGCGTTGAATCACTATAAACGGCGAATCACTTTTCAAACTGTTGCCAGAAAATGCTAGACTCCTGCATTATATTTGAAGAAATTAAATAATTGAAAATCTGCATAAATGTATGTATATTTTTTGCATTGTGATAAAACAACGGTACATAAAGCCATCGAATTTGATGACTCATCCTCCTCGAAATGGGCATTGAAAGACCCAATTGAAATTGGAATTTGTTTAGATCGATTTCATTATTTTTTAAAACTTAACGAATTTTTGAGTAACAAACTCAACGATTTAAAAGCGGCATGGCAGAACTCTACCTAGGAAAAACCTTTTATCTCCGCGCGCGGAACTGCGTATCGGAAAGTCTAAAGATGGCTCATTTTTAAAATTTTTGCGACATTGTATGAATTGTATTTTATGGTAAGTGGAAATAACATGATTTTAATACATAAAGGTAACCACAAAAGTTAACAAACGCCCCTTTGACATAATTTAAAACCTTCATTTTTTTTTTTTTTTTTTTTTTGTTGTTGTTGTTGTTGTTGTTGTTGTTGTTGTTGTTATTGTTTTCTCCATGTATTTCATGAAAGAATGTTTGCCAGAGCTTCAAAGAGGTTGGACTGCTTCTTCCACCCCAATTTTGA